GTTGCCGTCAGGTGCCAGCCCCACGATTCGTGTCCACGGTCGCGGGTCAAAGACCACCGCATCCGGGTTGGCAACCTGGTCCTTTTTGACCCATTCCAGGCAGCACGCCACGAGGATTTCCCCGTCCGACTGCACTGGTGCAAATCCAAGGTCATGCAAAATCAACTGGAACGCGGTTGGTACCCCAAGGAAGGTCGTTCCAAACGGGGAGGGGAGGCGGGGCCTCCACATCATCGTGATCCACTCGAGCCAGGAGCCTAATTCCTAGGCGCAAACCCCAACCAAACAACAGGGGAGCCCCCAAAAACCCCGGAAAGCCCATCCCGAAACGGGGGAAAAGGGGGGGGGGGGACCCAGGGAGCCGCCCCGGAAAGGGAAGAACCAAACAAGGGAGGGGAGCCAAGGCGCACCCCGGACCAGCCCAAGCGCGCCAATTTTTCTCGCCTGGTACAGGTCTAGGCCTGTGCTGTGCCCAGGGGGGGATATCAGCGCCCTCGGCAGCTGTCCCCCCCGGGGTGCGCTGCGAATCCGTTCCGGATGGCCGCAGTGCTGTATGATCATACGGCCCCCTTTGCAATGTCATCAATGCGCTTGAGCGCCGCCGCCTCCGGATTCCGGAGAATCAGCTCCCAGATGGCGTTTGAAACGTGGCCGGTCTGGGTGATGTGGCTGAACCTAAACCGGGGGACTTTCTGGTCCACCACGGAGACATCCCGCAGCGGGGCCGAGGGCTCTACCCGGCGGTAGAACTCCAACCGCTCCTTGACCCAGCGGTTGTACAGGCCCTCCGGCGGCTCGTCCAGCACCAGCTGAAGGATGGCCTTGCCGGCCCGGATCTGGAGGAGGCGGGTGCCCCCTCCCCCGGCGCGCCAGTACCCCTTGCAGTACTTGCACATGTAGCCCCCCCGGGTCTCCCCTTTGGTCTTCGGGATGAGTTCCCACGGGGTGACGGAGCTCAGGACCAGGCCACACTCCATGTGCGCCCAGAAGACATGCTTCGTCTCCGCCGGATAGTTCTTCTTCCGGTAGTCCTTGCCCACCACGCCGTGGACGTTGTCCGATGTGATGGGGGGGTAAACGATCCCCTCATCGCCCTCTCCTCCCCTGGGGCGGATGTCAGGGCCATCGGCACCTGTCCGGCACCCAGGGGCGGAGGGGTCAAGGCCCATCAGCTTGATCATGTCGTTGGTGTAGCCGAGCTTGCGGTAGATGGAGGGGGCTACTGAGTCGGGGACTGCGCCGACCCACCACTGCTTCGTGTTGCAGCGCCAGTTGACCTTCACCTCCGCCAGGGCCCCCGGGCCTCCAATGCGGTCCATGAGGGCCTTGTACACCTCTGGGAACTGCTGGAGACTCTCCACCGGGACAGATATGCGCTCATCACATACCGCCCGGAGGATCATCTGTTCCTTGGAGTCCGCCACGTCCTGGACCGGGAGCTGCATCACCTCCGCCGGGGTGTCCGTGAGGAAGGCCCGGGCCGCGAGGACCTTGCCCATGGCCCGGTAGACCAACCGCCACTCCGGTCCTGTCTGCGGAAATGGAAGGCCCTCCTCCTTCAGGAAGCACCGCGCGTCTTCCTTCAGGGTCTCCCAGCCCTCCAGGCGGATCTGATTCTGGGCCTTGTTCTTCGGGCCCCGCTGCCTAGGGCCCTGTAGCAGTGGCAGGGACTCCCAGACTCCCCAGAGCTGGCGCAGGGTGAAGCTGTGACCAAACATCCCCAGTAAGCCTGGAAGTGTCCAGGACGAGATCTGGCGCGCCCAGTGGAAGTCCTCATCCGGATCGTGGGGGGCCGCCCAGAAGATGGAACGCAGGTCCTCGGGGTAGGGTCGGTCCCCCGCCTTAGCCTGCTGGTTCAACTCATCAACGGAGTACCTGGCCCATGGGAGTCCACCCACCTGGTGGTTCCTGGGATGCGTACCCCTCTCCAGCGCCTCCGGATTCACCTTGGTGAGGTTGTTGGCCCAGTCCGGGACGTGTACGGGGCCCGGTCGTCGGACCCAGCGGCCCGCAAAGATACGGACCTCTCCGACCCGTTTGCTCATCATCCAGCGCAGGACCGCGAGCTGCACCTCCGGGTCCTGGGTATCCAGGCCCCCTGGGGTGGCAGACGGCTTGTCAGGGCCCTCGGCACCTGAGCTCGTCGCGCCAGAGCCCGAGGCTGGGGGGATGGTGGGCTGCCTGTCAGGGCCCTCGGCACCTGGGCGCGCCGCACCAGAGCCCCCCGCCTTTGGAATGGGGATCCCCGCCAGATCCGGCAGATCTGCCAGGAGGGCCGCCGGAAAGGGGTTCCTACCCAGCGAGATGACCGCCTTGGCTTCGAGGTAAGAGTCCGTGAGGGACGTGAGGTCGTCCATGCTGAAATCCCTCCATGCCGTGGTCGGCTCAAAGACCCCCGTCTCAATGGCAACTCGGACCTCGTTAGGCCACGCACTGAATGGAGGCTTGATGGGCTCGAGCATTCTGGTCTCGTGGGCGCCCTTCGCTTGTCTGGCCTGGTGCTTTGCCTTCGCCTCCTCCGCAGTGGTCTGGGCCTGGAGGAGCTCCGGTGTGGGCCTCCCCCAGTCCGCGCCCAGCTTATCCAGCAGTTTTTCGCGGAAAAGGTCCAAGTCCAAATTCTTGAGGAGTAGGCCCCCATCGCCTCCTCCATCAATGGCCCCTCCCTGAAGCTCGTGGAGGACCGCCGCGGATCGCTCCACCGCTGCCACCTGGTCTGCCTTCTTGGCCTCCTCCTGGGCAATGGTGGTGGCGTTGAGCCGGGTCTGGATTTTGAAAGCCTTCACCGCCGACGGGTGGAAGGCCCTGCATTCCTGGCCCTCTTCCTTGTCGCCCGGCAATGGAGGCCTCTCCCCCATTGGGGCCGTCAGGAAATCCTCGTCCAGCTCCATGGGGCAGTTTCTGATCACCGCCCGGACCGAGGAGGGGACAAAGTCCGAGAAGCTTGCCTGGTCCGGGTTCTCGCATGCCATCGGGTCGGTGGCCAGCTCGCTGACATCCACCGAGGCGCTGAGCTTGAGGTCGCGGGCCCGGTCCGTATCAGGGCCATCGGCACCTGCGGACCGGGCCGCCGTCCAGACCGCATTGCCCTGGTCATCCACCGTCAACTGCCAGTGCGTGCCCGCCATCTCCAGGGTGGCCGAGTTGGTCGCCATGTCAATGGGCTCCGTCTTCTTGCCGCACCCCATACACTTCCTGGCGCCCTTCTTCACCCAGGGCATGGTGCAGCAGGGGCAGATCCAGGATGTGGGCTCCTTACCCAGGGGGCGGTTCTCCAGGCCCCCATACCCCAGGCCAGCGCGCTTGCCGACCTGCTGTCCCGGGGTGCTGAGCCGGGCCTCATGCTCATACTTCATCTTGGCGATGTAGAACGCCTCCACCACACGCTCCAGGCCCCCCTGCTTGAGTTGGGGGCCCTCAAAGCCTCTCAGGAGCCGCTGGACGTCCTTGGCCTGCAGTCGGCGGAGCCTAGTGGCCGTGGTCGCATCAAAACACGGGAAGTCGCCCGCCATCTGGTCATCGCTGAATTGGTAAAGGCCCTCAGAGACTTTGAGGGCCTTGGTGAAGACGCTTCCCCCCGGCGGGGGGGCTGCGGGGTCCTCATCCTCCTCCGAGGACGCCTGCTCCCTGACCTTCGCCATCAGATCACGGCGTCTCTGCCACTTGGTGTCGGACATCGGGAGCTCCTCCTCGTCTTCCGCCAGGAGTTCCTCCATGGGAACATCCTTCTCCGGCGGGTTTAGGAGCTCCAGGAACGCCCCTGGGGGGCGTGTCAGGGCCTTCGGCACCTGCGCCACCCCAGGGGCTGAGTCTGCCATCAGCTCGTCCTCTGCCTTGCGCTTGGCTGGGATGAGTGGGGCCTGCTCCAGCTCATCGGCGCTGGAGAAGAACCGCTCGTCAGGTGCCTGAGGGACCTCAGCAGCCAAGACGGTCCATCCTTCTTCCTCCTTCTTCACGAGGCTTGCCAGGTACTTCGCCATGGAGGCCTTTGCCTTCGCCTTGGCCTCTGCAACCGCGGCACCAGCGTAGGCGGGGGCGTACATGGCTTTGATAGGAGGGGAAAGAAAGATTTCAGATTACAAGACAGAAGGTCAGAGTCCACTTGAGCCAAAATGGTGGCCCAAGTGGACACTTATGAAGAGTCAAGACAAGCGACCACCTGCGGTTAACGCTTTAGCCCAAAATATCCCCCCACGTTCGAATGAACTACGAACGTGGAAATGGCAACGTAAGCAGACGGACAACCATATCTGGGAAAGAAGTGGGAGTAAGATAAAGGTGGCGTCCCATGCCCTCCAGATTGTGGCTTGAGGGGCGGTAGGCCCCAAAAACCAAAAAACAATAAGCTCAGGTGATATCCCCAACAGCATGCGGTGTTCTTTTTAGTGCTCGCACCACCCCGCAGCCCTCGTAGAACCTCGGGGGAACCCTCGTGGAACCCTGGTGGAACCCTCGTGCAGGGCCGCTCCGGACCACCCCGGAGCCTATCTGGGCTGAGACCCCAAAGCTTTCAGCTGTTGGGGAAAAACACTTCCAACTCGTGTCCTGTGGACTGATCAGAAAAAGTGTCCAAATGGTTGCTTCACCATTAAATGATCCGAACCCAAAAAAGTGACTGAAGTCCAGAACTAAGAACTGGATGTAAGTGAGGTGTATGTTTCGAGAGTAGCCGTTTGAGATCGTTTGACAGCGAAACCAAAAGCGGAAAACCAACTAATTGCTTGGAAGCAAGCCCCAAACAAGGGCCAATGGTTTCAGCAGGGATTTCTTGAAGGATACGTCCAAAAATCACCCTTACAAGGACGGTCGGGTGATGCGTTTTCCCTGTGGCATTTGGTATCCAGGCGGTATGAAAACTTCCATTTGCTTAAGCCCCCTGGGGAAAAAAAAAAACACTTCCAGTAGTGATAGATTCCCTTTAACACCAACACGGAAAACCACAAAATATTCATCGAAGCAAATGGAAGAAAAAGGCCTCAAGATTCGATTCGGTTCCAGGGCGCCGTCCAGCCAGCGGTGCTTCAGCAGAGTGGTGGCATCGGCCCGCTCCGCCTCCGCTTTGCGGAGCCTCGCGAACGAACTTCGAGACGGCGAGACATGGCAAGACGAGACGCCCGAAAAGTCGCGAGCAACGGCGCGGGTCTGGCCATGGAAAGTCCGTGCTTGAGTGGAATTGGCCTGCCGGAGCCCGAGAAAACGAACGAGTTTTTGCAAGGTTTTCCAGTAGAGAGGTTAGAAGACATGTGCTCTGTTTTTTTGCTTCTTTGTTTTCCTCTGTAGTCTATTTTAGTAGGGGAACCCTCCCCCAAAGAAGGGCGACAGGGCACTACTGGGGGACCTAGTTCGAGTCTCTGCAATTACTCCGAGTCCTGGAGTAAGACTTGGACTTTCAAAGGGTGTCGATCCACCTGGATGTGTTTTTGGGAAGCTGCGGACCCGCCAGCCGCAACTACGCACAAACTTATGGAGAGCTGGTTCCAATACCTCGCCTCTGCCGGGGCTAGCTGCTGCTGGCATTTAGCCAGCAAAATGAAGCAGTCCACACCTTTCTCATACAATGCACGTTGGGGGGTATGCCGGTATGCCTGTGGGCCGTCCAACGGCATATCTTTCCCATAAGGGGCCACAGGAACCTAAACATATTTCCCACGTAAAGGAGTGTTTTAAACAGCACCCTTTTGTTGGCCGTCGAAAGTGAGCTTTGCCGGGTGATGTTTTCAAGCTGGAAATACTTTGGGAGCCCTGCCTATTGCGTTTTTGCTTGATCAGCACTGGGGAACCCTTCATTTCGCCGATCAGCAGAGGTTCCCCCCAGAGAAGGCGCGCCTCCCGGTGCGTTTTGGGGGAGATTCCAGACTTACAGCCCGCGATGGAGAAGCTCACTTGGCGAAACGGAAGGATAAGCTTTTGGAACCAGAAGGCTAACATGTCGATTCGACCGGGGGGTTTGTGAGAAAGGCTTGGGTTTCCACTCCATTCCCCTTGCAGGTTCGCAACTGGGGTAGTCATACCAGCTTTCCTCGTGGATTGGATTGGTCTGGAGGGCCTTTGCCATCCCACAAGAGCCAGAGGTTCAAATGCACGTCCAAACCAATCCCAACCACCAATGAGGCGTTACCTGATCAAACGGACTTAGTTCACTGTTGTAGGACCTTAGCAATAGGTGTCCTTGTGTAACATAGATGGTACTGGTAAATGGAATGAAACCAATCTAAAGCAGCGACACCTTTTTCGTCCACAAACTAGCATAAAAAGGATACGTACTTCGATGGTCTGGGAGTTAGCTAAGTGGTTAGTAACCCTGGTTGTAACCCACTTAGCATGGTTGTAAGTCCCCTATTTTCCCAGTGCTGCTCACCATTTAGCTAAGTCCAAGACCATCTAAGTACGCTTGCTTCAAAATGCCCGTGGAATTGTTTCAACAGGACTGGTGCCAAGGAGCATGCTCTGGATCAGCTCCACACAGTCGGGGTGCGCATGCGCGGGAAGCACCACCTAGTCACAAATCTGCGCATGCGAAACCCGTAGGCTTTCTGGGATACTAAAGTTGGCCATCCCCATGACTTCTTTCTGACTTCAAGGGGGGTGCCCGTCACATTACAGAAATTGGTTCCAAAACCAAGCTTTCCGCATCCATGAACCTGTGCTAAAAAAATGTGTCAGCCTTTGAAAGCCAGTTGAACAAGGCTGAGGACAAAAAACGACAACATGTTCACTCGGTTGCTTTCTGCTCCCCTGCTAAAAGTGAATAACTTCTAGCGGATTTAATACGGAAAACTTACTAGTTGGCAAAACGTTAAAGTCCTAACATCCGTTGGCAAAATGCACCTCCGTTCCCTTTGCTCTTGGCGTGCCTCCTTGGTCCTCGTCTGGATCTCGCCCTGACGGGACCGGCACCGGGAGCTTTCGGCCCCCGGCTCGATGCTCGTTCGGATTCGGCTCCGAAAGGTTCGGGCAAGCAGGCGGCCCAACTTCCAGTGGCGTTTTTTTTTTTCTCCTCCCCCCCTGCCCGGTCGCCAATTTTAGGTGGGCCCGGGTTTTTCCTTCGAACCATGGGGAACAAAGATGTGGTGTTCAGTATGTGGACCTTGTGCGGTTTGGATTGGTGGCCTCGAGATTTGAACCCCTGAGGGCAAAACACCCCAAACCAAACCAACGAAAGGCTACTTGACGGGGCCATATAGGAGGAAAGCAGGAAAGAAACAACTGACACGATGCAATGAACTTACATACGTATGATAAGTTTTAGCCCATTAACGCTTGAGCATAAATCTATCCTTCGAATTGTTGTCACAACCGAACAGATTGTTTGTGCGCTTGTTTCAACGTTCAAACCATTGCCCTTCCGATTGTTTGTCGTCGGCTCGAAGCTGTTTACAAACGCCTGGACACTTTGAACGGACCCCACGGCCAGATCCACGGCCAGATCCGTCCATCCGAGGCCTTGAAGGGGAAGCGGCCCGTCAGCAAGCCATAGCAAATGACGCCCATGGCCCATATGTCCACCTCGGGTCGTCCGTCTGCGCGTCTGTGCGCAGAAGACCAGGGAAGAAAGCGCTCGCGCGCGAGCGGGTGTGTTTGTTTGTTTGTGTGTATGTGCCCTTTTTATGGTATCCTTTTCACCTCTGCACGAAAAGCCAAAAGGAATACCACTCGTTTTTGGGGCCGCCTGTTTTGGCACATGCCAAAGCCGCTTGCACCATTGATCCGTCAGCTCCGACGCGCAAATAGCGGAGCAACCGGCCTTCTGGGTGTAGAACAAACTGTAAAACCTCAGCAATGGAGAGTGTAGATCTCTCCCATTCCCCGCTTTGCTCTTTTCCAGCCCTATGAAAGACTCACTGCACTTCTCTGGAGAAAGGCAAGGCCACCCTGCCTTCGCAATGCTTTTCATCTAGAAAGCCCCTTCAAACAACCCCGAAAAGGAATACAGGGAGCCCCTGCAAGGCATGACGGCTGGAAAGCAGGGCTGTGAAAACCAGGGCACGCGCGACCTATTTGTCAACCTACCAACATCACCCCACAAGGAAACCTTCAATTCGCACAAAAGCCCAAACGGTCCTGTGTTTGTGTTTGTGAGCTGCTTGTGTGGTGTCGCGCCTGATTTGTGGGAGGGAATGGTCCACCCAAAATCCCGTGTAAACAAAGTGTTGGACGGGTCTCTTAAAAACACGTGGTGAAGAATCGCATGGCGGCTCTTAAGGATCATAAGGAATTTGAGCCTTTACTCTTCACTCCTTGATCTTCAAGGAAATCGCTCCCGCTATTTAGTTTCAACTTCCTTGGACTGCCCATGTGGGGTAGGATCAGCAAGTATGGAGGGTAGGATTAACAAGTAACGGTCCTTATGTGTCACGTTTAGGCATTGTTGGAAAGACCTTGTAAAGACATCTGCCGCACTTGCTACAAACCCGCGTCAAACAAGCTAAAACCACAAGCCCTGGCCAATAGGAATCGGTTTCTGGGCGCCGCTAGCGTCGGGTTCGAAATCCCCAAAGGTCAATTTGGCGATCGTAAACTTCAACTTGTTGAGTTAGTTCAGATCCCCGGCTAAAAGTTTTTAACTTTTAGTGGGCTAAATGGAAACCCCACTAAATACTAAAAGATCTCAAAAGCTAAGGAGCCGGATGCCTGGCGTCTCACTTCCCCGCTTCCAGTAGAGAGGTTAGAATAAGTTGGCGCCAACCTTTTTCGGTTTTGTCGATTCTAGTAGGGGCTTCCCCTCCCAACCCCAAAAAAAGGTGTGAGAGGTCGGGGGACTACTGGGGGACCGTTTCGAGGTTCTTGGGCCCGGCGCCGCGAAAACCCGTCTGACTCTGAGGAGCTCGGGGGACCAGAAGGATTTGGTGCCGCAGGCCTGCGACAGGCGCTCGCCTGGCCGGGCGTCGGCGGAGCTTCGGCGGAACTCCAGCGCCGACTTTTTTTTGGGCGCCGAGCCGGCGGTTTGGGGGTTTGGCGCTTTGGTGGTGTGGGTGGTTTGGTGGGGTTCGGCTTCTCCGCTGTTGGTTTTCCGGTGGAGCTGGGGTGTCGGATTGAAGTGGTGAAGTGTTTTGGGGGTTTGGTGTCCATTTGCCCACAAGAACTCAGGGGTCAAATCCAAATCCAAGCCAATCCAAACCACCAACTAAGGGGAACCTGAGAAATTCACACCAAAGTGGCAGCCCGGCTGATTTTGGTAACCAGAAGGAGTCGAAATGATGACCCACCAGGCCAGAGGCTATGGGACATCAAAATCAACCCGGGGTTTGATTCATCCCGTCTTTGCGTTCGGTAATGAACCACAACAAGTGCACACCAACTGGACATCATGCCCTTGTGCTCAAACCATGCTGCGCACAGGATACACCTCGCATTATTCGTGTTCTAAGTGGGCATCGCGTGCGAGCATGGCCGGTTGAACCTGGAAGGAGTCCAGAAGCCACAAGCAAAGCCTAGATCAAAGCCTGGATCCGCTCGCAACCGGTTCCTTGTGCTTTTGGTTTCCTATTAGGCCAACGTAGAATTGGGTATTCCAAAAAAACAGCGCCGAGAAATGGGCACCCCGACATGGGTGGTTTGCCTTTGGAGCAACCATTGAGCCAAAATCAAAGCCTGGCACTTCTTTTGGAGCTCCTGTGGAGCCTTTGGCACTCATGATCGGACTGACTTTTGGCGGCTGAGCGGTGGATGCCACCAAAGTCCTCCCTGTTTTATAGGAAAATGAAGGGGATGCCTCAAAGGAACTGAAGTTGGAATTTTGGAATGAACAAACTGCCATCTACTTCCACCCAACTACAGATGAGCGTGTCAAGGGGCCCGACCCCGAAAAGGGTACCTATTACGCCAACCTCGTGGTTGTGCTTTTGGTTTCCTATTGGGCCAACCTATAAATCGGGATCCTTTTTTCAACTCGGAGAAATCGGCGCCCTAAAATGGGTGGCCCTTTGGGCTTCCCTTGAAGCGAACCCCAAGCAGGGTTTCCTCAAACCAACACCTACCCAGATTGACCAAACCGGTCGCGCACGGAATCGCGCGCGCGCGCGCCCGCCTGGTTCCAGCGAACAGGCCGTGCCGAAGTCCGCCAGCACCACCTGGCCTCGTTCGTCCCGTCCCATTCGAACCCCGGAAAGGGCCCACAAAAAACGGGCCCCTTGGGCCGAAAAAAAGGGCTTCCCCTTTGGAATGCCAGCTCGGCACCGGGGGGTGCGTTGTCCCTAACTTCCCCAATTACCCCATAAAGCGTGGGCCCCTTCCACCGGAAAAGGTGCTTTCCCCTTTGGAATGCCAAGTTGAAAGCACCCCCAAGCCCCAACACTGATATGTCACAAGGGAGCCGCAAAAGTTGGCAAAGGTGATGTGTGCTTCGGCAAGGGGAAATAGAGCTGGAGCCTTCCGAGTACGTTGGAAGCCCCTTTGGAAAATGATCGCCCCCTGATCGCCAGCTCCCTCTTGATTCACCTCTGAGCCAAACACAAGAAACGGGTACCTTCGAAAACACAATCTCCTGCCAAAGCTGCGCTTCCGGCTCGCACGGACTGCTGTCTTCTTTGTTTTGAAAAAGTGAAAGCGATCTGTCTTTTCAACACCCCTGCCACTTTGCCTTGGCAAGAGGTAAGGTGTTGATTCATTGTGGATTTTGAACGTGCAATATCCCATGTAAGCCTTACCCCGCCCACATCAACATGGCCGCCCTTGGATGGATTGAATGCGGACATGCCCTCAAAAGAAGACTTCCAGAAGGGGGCTAGTTTGCTGTTTCCCCTGCTTGTGAAGACCCGGGACCGGCACGCGCCCCCTCTCTCTCATCATATACCTGATCATCCTTCCCGTGACCTTTGGAGGCAAAATCTGCGGATCACCGAAATCCAAACCCTTCCCTGTTGTCTTGAACCCCCAAGGCGTGTACACGCAATGGCCCCAACCATCTCAATGTGACCCTGAGAAGGGAAGCTTCTAAAAATGGTGGACGCTGTTTGAGGTGGCACTTAAGAGGAAACCAACCCAGAATTTTGAGAAGCACCCATATCGCCTTATATAGCTGGAGGTCATGAGGGTACAAACCCACTTGGCCACTGGAAAGAAGCGATCGAGGCTTGGCCTGTCAGGTGATCCGAGCACCCGCAAGGGGTTTGGCTGGTGGGTTCATTCATGAAACTGCCGAACATGTGGCTGTGGGTCAAAAACACATACCAAAATGGAACCCTGTAAATAGAACCAAGGACTAAAACCTGAAAATCCCCTGGTGGTTTAGTTTGGGCCCATACCCATGTAACAACCCCCCCCCCCCAAACTGCGCACAACGTCCATCTCCGAAGCTCGAAGCGCGGCACCGGCTCGAAGCCCGAAGCTCGAAGCCGAGACGCACTTGGGGTCCGTCAGCGCGGGTCTGTCCAGCAGAAAGTTGTCGCCCTTGATGTCCTGAGCGGCTTTCTGACGAAACGGACGCACAAAAAAAGACGCAGACCAAAAAAGGACGCAGACCAGGCAGACAGAGAGACACACACACACAGAGAGACAGAGGAGGAGGAGGAGGCAGAGGCGCAGACAGAGACAGAGACAGAGACAGCCACACAGCCACACAGCCACGCAGACACAGCACAAACACAACACAAACACAACACAAACACAGAGAGAGAGAGAGGGAGAAACCAAGAGACACAATTGACATCTCAGCGCAAGTTGTCACCAAACATTGTGATGATCAAGCGCGTCAAAGCAAAACGAGTTGCGAGCAAACGATGAAGTCTCAGCGAACGCTACGGAATGAGCCTGCTTGGTCCTGGCCATGGCTGGTTGGTCAACATGCTCTTTACCTGGATGACTAGTGGGGGACACCTGCCTAAACAGGAAGTTCTCACAATGAAAAAGTACCATTTGCCATCTAGAGGCCAGGACTATGGGCGTATCTTTTTCGAGCACTCTGATTTTAAGGAAAGCCAAAAGGATACCAAAAAGAAACCACCCATTTTGGGGCCAAGTGACAAGACAAACCCAGATACATCAAACGCTCAGGCGCTCGATGGACCACCCCCTGCAGGTGGAGGTACTCGATCGCCAGCGCCATCTGTCCTTCAGGAACCCATTGAACATGCGCAACAACCCCTCAACAAAACACACCGATTGTACCAGGCGCTTGGAGTTGGTCATTTTCCCCAAGCTCCGCACAGGCATGTTCTCTCTTGTGGGTCGGCTGCAGCCACTGCTCAAGTGCTAGCTTTAATTTCTCAACGACTGCTTGCACTGCAGCCACTGCAACCACTGCGCAACGCGACATGGATTTCGAGAAAAGAAAGAAACAACAACACAATCCAAAACCACCGCAAGCTGCCAGCCTGCCTGTGGCGTCTCTACTAGACGTCTGACCCGTGCCGCCCCCCTGCAAAGTGCTTCGTCTGTGCTGCCCGAGGGGCTTTTGACCTGCACCTCGGACGCAAGGCCATTGGGCCGCATTGCTTGCCTCCCTTTGGTCCACGCAACTAGGTCCACATTACTTTGGTTAGAATAAGTTGGTACCAACTTTTTCAGTAGTCTATTTTAGTAGGGGAACCTTCTCAACCAAAAAAGGGTCAAAGGGGACCTAGGTAAAATTTACAATCTTAATCATGTAAACCATTTTAACACATTGCATGGTTGCAACCTAAACGACGGTTGCGTTTTAAATCAATAACTTGCAACCTTTTGATTAAACATTGTGAAGGATCTGAATCATGCAAACAACGCTCATGGTGAGATCGCGGCACCTTCAAAACGGAAGCCGCAGCTCCGAAACCCCGACGCCCCGAACATTGGGCCCGCGAAATGTGCCGACCATTTTGAGGGTTTGGCTCCCCGGGAAACCCGTGAAGCCATCAAGCAGCTCGGGCAACTTGTGGTTTTCGGTCAGGACATCAACCACCTTCTGACGGGCTATTTCAGGGTTCCCTTTCAGGATCATCCAAAAACCACGTTTCACTGGCCGCTGCGAATTCGAAAGTGCTTACCAGCCACTCAGGAAACCTCAAGCAAATCCTCGCCTTCCGCGAGCTACACTCTTGGACCAAACCTTGGGCTGGGCCTTGGCTGGCCTTTGACACCATCGGTGCCACAAGATGTGTCAACACCTCACGTCAAGTCCAAGAGCTTTTGGAACTGTATGGCTGGGAATCGCCAAGTAACCTGGTTTCCGCAAATCAATTCTGGGTGGACGTAGCCCATCTTAAGGGTTTGGATGATTATTCCATTGAACCAAATGAGCAGCCAGGGCAAGAAACTTCCAGGCTTGGCAGGGACACAACCTCTCCTGTGAGCTTCGCATGCTTGGTTGATCAGGCGCTCCCTTTGAGTGGGAATCACTTTTGTGGGAATCTCCCCAAATTTGGGTACATACCATCGGCAAAGCAAAGTCACTTCCAGCCCTTGAGAGCACACAGCCGAAGCAGTGGCCCAAAGCGTGCAGCTCGAAACCACAAAGAAAAACCCGACACGCCAGCCCCAAGCAAGGCTTCTGACCCGAGGCCAGCTTGCAACGGATTTCAAAACCTCAAAATTACTTGAGGTGAATGGTGGCAAAAAGGCCTTGCCCACTGCCCACCATGACCCAAATTTGAGAACCCTCAAAATTGCATCCGCACCTTTTGAGTAGTTGTCGAAAAGAAGGAAATTCAAGAACCCAGCCAAAGGCTGAGCCGTACCTTGGCCGTTCTTTAAGCCCCGCCCCAACCAAGCGGCCAGGTCGTAGTCTGCAAAGCAGCTGCGGAGCTTTGTGCGCTCCTGGCAACAGCCGAACCCAGAGCTTCTTGAAATAAGCCCAGCGCCAAAACTCCGGAACCCGTCCAACACCCCGAGCAGCCGATCACTTGAGCAGCCGGTTGCCTGAATAGTGCCTCAAGCACCCGACAATTGGAATAACGAGAGCAGCCATCACGATCTATCCTGAAACTTCCCTACGAGTACCCATCAACCGGGCGTTGGCTTGCAAGCACCAGCTAGCAAGGCAACAAGCAAGCAATATCCAGTAAGCAAGCAGCAAGAAAGCAAGCACGCAAGCAAACAAGAAAGAAAGAACGAACACAAACAAACGATGAACAAAGGCAAGAAACGCAAGCCAAGCGCGAAAATGAGGGCGAGAGTTCCCTGCCAAATGCTTTTTCAAGCTGACCACTGCCAGAGCCCCAGGCAAAAGCGCCAACGCAGTGCCGCAAACCCAGGCCTGCAATGCGGTGACGATATCTCCGCCATCAAATTTGCTCATCACAATGCACCTGACCGCCACTCAGCAACATGTGCCCCCCAAGAAACTGCTTAAATCCCTGCGCTCGCCGTGTGAAATCGGTTTGTTGCAGGTCACCATTCTTATAGATTCACATGGTCGTGTCGTTTGGAAGGCTCTTTTGGACTGCCTGAGGGGGGGGTGGCATGGACACTTTGAGGATCTTGCACACACACACACACAAAAAAAACCCAACAATACCCAGAAGAAGGAAGCTGCAAAACAGACCCCAAGTGTCCACCATACTCGGGACCTGTGGGTTGACAAAATCCTGAACCACTTGGATTGCATGAGACCCCATGGCTGGGATAACATCGCCACCAAACTGGTGCAGGACTTCTTACGTCCAACTCGAAACCATTATTCAGATCTCTCCAGCTAAGGGTCCTTAAAAATTGCAATCAAACCCATACCGCCCTCTTGGTGTCTATTCAAAAAAGGTCATAGATGATACCAGGCTTGGGCTTGTGTTTTGGAGGAGCTGTTTTAAGGCTGGTTTAAGGGGACACTAAAAGGACAACTCGCCCTATTTTGACACATGCCAGTGAAAGCTTGCGCTGTCCTTCCACACGAGGGGAGCCTCACAAAACCGCAAAAACGTTCGCAGGCTGCACGGGCTGCGGATCGGCCAAGGCGCACGAAGCACGTGTCGTAGAAAACCCCATAGCATTTCACCTGAGTCTGGAAAAGAGGTGGGAACGTGACATAAGATCCTAAGACACCAGTGAACAAAGAGCAACAAATGCTTGCCCCTTGCGTGCCTGAATAGCCCAGGCACCGTGGACGCAAGCCACATGTGCTCTCTCAAACCCTTTCTTGCGAGAAATGCTTTGGGAAACAAATATGTCGAAGCACAGCATGGCCGAGTTGCAATATTTGGATGGTTGAACATTGCCATCATCTGAGCTTCTCGTTTGATGTCTGCGAGCCTCACTTGATTCGCAGCGTGCTCTCAGCTTGGCACTCAAGACAGAAGTCTTAGCCATATCCAAAACGCTGGATTTGATCTGAAATCTGAGGCTGCCGCGGCGACTCCACTTTGTCCACCAGTTTGACGGCGTACTCGTTCCCGCTGACAATTTCTTGACCTAGGTCCCGATTCTCATGTTGAAACTTACTGAAGAAAATGCAGTCTTCCATACCCAATGACAAAACTACCTTTTCAATCGCACCTTCGATTTACTTCAGTTCAGCCGGTTGACTGAGTGTACACCTGACGCTCAATGCGATGCGACTTTGCATGTCAATCCACTTGCTTGGCATGCGGCACGCGGACACGACACCGAAAGAACCTGCAGGGAAGCTGTGCAAGCCGTGGCAAAAAAACTTGCTTGGTCAAGCAGTCCTGTCCTGAGTCACGAACGGTCACGAAATGCCATGCGCTCGCGCCATGAAACCATTCGCAGCCGGATGCCTTCACCCAGGATTTCTCCGAGGCGATAGTGGTCTAGGAGGTTGGCAATGGCCTGGATGCAACGCAACTGTTGGCACTGTTTGGTGTGCAATGGCAAGCTGGCGGCAAGCTGGCACTTTGCATCTCTCATAAAACCAAGGACGGCCCACCCCCTTTGCCTACACGTGGCTTTTGGCTAAATTATTTTTGTGCTTTTGCCCTAGCCCGCTTGCACACACGGAATTAAGGCAACAAACGCAACAATTGCAATACAGATGCTCAAGACGCGCGAGACGCACCATACGACACATGCAAGCAAAACGGAATGCAATGGCCATGTCAAAGTGGCAGCCCCATCCCCGCGCAATGTGCCACCCATGCCTCATCCGGACGCGAGCTTTCCCAAATCGGCGCTGGCAATAAACCGGTTTCACCTTGCGGCGCGAGCTGGGACCAAGCACTACAAGCACCGACGTGTCTTCAACACGTTTTTTCTCGCATGCAACATGGAGAGAACAAACTTCTGAAATTGGCCCAGGCGCCGCCACAGCCACATGGGTTGTGACATGCACTTTGGCATGTGCCCATGTCCCCTATGCAAAACAATGCAGGTAGCCTTTCGAGGCAGAATCTTCGTTGGGAACACACATTGCTGGCACATTGTCGTGCTGGGACGGATTCGCCGCGGCGTCAAGCGCCAAGTGCATTCATCACCCCATTCACCCTTTAGAAACCAGAGCCGCTCAGCTGAGCCGAACATGTAATTCCTTCATTTGCGGCAACGGTGCAACATGACAACTCAATCATTTGCAGCATTCGTCGGAAGTTTTTTTTTTTTTTAAATGCTGTGCCTGAATCACTCATACTCACCAACAGCGCTGCCCAACCTGCAATTGGAACTCAGCGCGTGAAAGCGCAACTGCGCTCACACCACATTCTTTTCCACAGTTTGGAAAGCACAGGCAGGCAGCGCTCGCAAAACCAGCCGTGGCGTCGCGCAGGAGAAGATTACACCAAGGCAGGGCAGCAGAACAGGAGCAGGACTTGCAGCATGATCGGATTCCGGTGTTCGTTTTCTCGCCTGAGGAACACGGAGGCCCCCTGCTGTGAGCCCAGGCAAGCCTGAATCCACGACAGCCCGCAAAAGGCTAAGTTTTGTTGTCTTGCTTTTGACGACGAGGCTACTAGCGCGCTGTTTGTCAGAGCTGAACTGAACAGGCGTGGAGCGCTGGCTGCCCAAGCAAATGCCCCCACTGGCGAGCATGCAGCCCGGCGATGCGGCCAGCCCGGCAATCGCGTAGCACTGGGCGACAAATGATGGCCCATATTGGGAAGTAAATGCGAACACTGGCGAGCACGCGGCCTGGTGATCTTGCAGCATGCGGCCCGTTTCTGTGTTTTTTCCTTCCCAGATAGCTGAAAGCTATAGGGGTTGTAACTTCTAATGAAGAAGGGAAAGTGATTTGCGAGATTGAGGGCCGGGTGCGGGGGGGCATGCAGTTTGGGGTGCTGGTGGAGGTGCTGTTTTGCGAGCTTGACGGCCGGGTGCTGGGTGGCATGCAGTTTGCAGTGCTGGTGGAGGTGCCGCTTTGCGAGATTGACGGCCGGGTGCTATGGTGTATGCAGTTTGGGGTGTTGGTGGAGGTGCTGTTTTGCGAGATTGACCGCCAAGTGCTAGGGGTCATGTAGTTTGGGGTGCTGGTGGAAATACTGTTTTCCGAGATTGACAGCGAGATTGACGGCCGGGTGCTAGATGGCATGCAGTTTCGGGTGCTGGTGGAGGTGCCGCTTTGCGAGGCGGGTTGCTAGGGGGCATGCAGCTTCGGGCGGCGGTGGAGGTGCCGCTGTGCGAGATAGGGGGCATGTAGTTTGGAGTGTTGGTGGAGGTGCTGTTTTGCGAGATTGGGGGCACGCAGATTCGGGTGCTCGTGGAGGTGCCGCTTTGCGAGATAGGGGGCATGTAGTTTGGAGTGTTGGTGGAGGTGCTGTTTTGCGAGATTGACGGCCGGGTGCTAGGGGACATGCAGTTTCGGGTGCTAGGGGGCATGCAGGTTGGGGTGGTGGTGCAAGTAGTGCTGGTCAGCAGCACGTGGGCTTGGGTGCTGTTTGGGGTATAGTGGTTGTCGTATCATCATGATGCTGGCCGCAGCATCATGATGATGGTTCGACGTCCGTGTGCTGGATGGCATATATTTTGGGCCGGTAGTTTGGGGCGCTGGTGGAGGTGCGTGCCGCTTTGCGAGATTGGCGGCCGGGTGCTATGGGGCATGCAGTTTGGGGTGCTGGTGGATATTGTCTTGCGAGCCGGGTGTAGGGGGCATGCAATTTGGGTGCTAGTAAGGTGTTGTTTTGCGAGCTTGACGGCCGGGTGCTACGGGGCATGCGCGAGAATGATGAGGGGGGCATGCAATTTGGGGTGCTAGTGAGGTGTTTGTTTTGCGGGTGCTAAGGAACCTGCAATTTGGGGTGCTGGTGGAGGTATCGCTCTGGGAGGCGTGTAGTATTTAGGGCATTGCCGCTTGGCGAGATTTGCGGCCGAGTGCTGGGGGGCATCCAGCCTGGGCTGCTGGTGGAGGTGCCGCTTTGCGAGATTGACGGCCGGGTGCTGGCGTGCGCTGGCGGATGCTGTTTTGCGAGCTTGATGGCCAGGTCAGTAGGCTTAGGGCTATCAACATTATCGTGATGCCGCGGGAACCACTATGTTGCTGCGTCATGGTTCGTGGCCGTGGTATGCTACATGGGGTCTATGCTGGTTTATGTTTTTTTTCTGTCAGCAAAATCGAGGCAGCTACAAGGTGAAACATAACGAACGGGCGCGAACTCAAGCGGGCGGGCGGCTCGGCGCGTCGTCTCCGCCTTTTTCTTCTAGATATGTAGCGCGGAATCGTTCGTGGCTGGTGTAGCAGCATCACCCTGTCAACATCATCGTTTCGCTGATGGAATCACTAGGACGTTGTCAGCGCGTCTATGTAGCGCACATGCTGAGTAGCTGTGGAATTTTCATGATGCTGTTAACATCGTCAAGATGCTGTCAACATCATCATCATGCCGCGGACCCTTATGATGCTGCGTCATGGTTCGTAGCCGTGGTGTGCTATCTGGCGTCTATGCTGGTGCAATTTTTTTTCTCCACCAGATAGCTGAAAGTTGTAGGGGTTCCAACTTCTAATAAAGAAGGAAAAATGATTTGCGAGATTGAGGGCCGGGTGCTAGGGGGCATGCTGTTTTGGATGCTGGTGGAGGTGCTGCTTTGCGAGCTTGACGGCCGGGTGTCAGGGGGCGTGCAGTTTGGGGTGCTAGTGGAGGTGCTGTTTTGCGAGTTGCTAGGGGGCATGCAGTTTCGGGTGTTGGTGGAGGTGTAGTTTGGGGTGCTGGTGGAGGTGCTGTTTTGCGAGAGTGATGGCCGCGTGCTAGGGGGCATGCAGATTGGGGCGCTAGTCGAGGTGCTGTTTTGCGAGATTGACGGCCGGATGCCAGGTGTAGTTTTGGGTGCTGCCGGAAGTGCTGTTTTGCGATTGATGGCCGGGTGCTGCGGGGCATGCAGTTTGGGGTGCTGGTGGAGGTGCTGTTTTGCGAGAGTGATGGCCGGGTGCTAGGGGGCATGCAGTTTGGGGTGCTGGTGGAGGTGCTGTTTTGCGAGAGTGATGGCCGAGTGCTAGGCTGTTTTGCGAGAGTGATGGCCGGGTGCTAGGGGGCATGCAGTTAGTGGAGGTGCTGTGTTGCGAGAGTGATGGCCGGTGCTGGGGGGCATGCAGTGTCGGGTGTTGGTGGAGGTGCTGTTTTGCGAGAGTGATGGCCGGGTGCTAGGTGGCATGCAGATTGGGGCGCTAGTGGAGGTGCTGTTTTGCGAGATTGACGGCCGGATGCCAGGTGTAGTTTCGGGTGCTGGCGGAGGAGCTGTTTTGCGAGAGTGACGGCCGGGTGCTGGGGGGCAGGCCGTTTTGGGTGCTGGTGGAGGTGCTGTTTTGCGAGAGTGATGGCCGGGTGCTAGGGGGCATGCAGTTAGTGGAGGTGCTGTTTTGCGAAGGTGATGGGCGGGTGCTGGGGGGGGGGGCATGCGGTTTTTGGTGCTGGTGGAGGTGCTGTTTTGCGAGATTGACGGCCGGATGCCAGGTGTAGTCTTGGGTGCTGGTGGAGGTGCTGTTTTGCCAGAGTGATGGCCGGTGCTAGGGCATGCAGTATCGGAGTATCGGGTGTTGGTGGAGGTGCTGTTTTGCGAGAGTGATGGCCGGGTGCTAGGGGGCATGGAGTTAGTGGAGGTGCTGTTTTGCGAGAGTGATGGCCGGGGAGGCTTGGCGCTGCGCGCGGAAAACGTGCGAACCCCGCAGAGCGGAAAAAAACAAAACAAAGCACAGTCTCTGCGGAAAAAGCGGACCCCTCCTGAAAGGGGGCCGTGATGGAGGTTGTCTTGGGGATCCGCTTTTCGAGCTGGAATCCGGCATTCCAGCTCGAAAAGCGGATCCCCAGCCAATCCCTCCTGAAAAGGGGGCCGTGATGAAGGTTGTCTTGGGGATCCGCTTTTCGAGCTGGAATCCGGCATTCCAGCTCGAAAAGCGGATCCCCGGCCAATCCCTCCTGAAAGGGGGCCGTGATGAAGGTTGTCTTGGGGATCCGCTTTTCGAGCTGGAATCCGGCATTCCAGCTCGAAAAGCGGATCCCCGGCCAATCCCTCCTGAAAGGGGGCCGTGATGAAGGTTGTCTTGGGGATCCGCTTTTCGAGCTGGAATCCGGCATTCCAGCTCGAAAAGCGGATCCCCGGCCAATCCCTGAAAAGGGGGCCGTGATGAAGATCCGCTGAGCTGGAATCCGGATTCCAGATCCCCGGAAAAGGGGGGCCGTGATGAAGGTTGTCTTGGGGATCCGCTTGGAATCCGGCATCCCAGCTGAGCGGATGAAAGGGGGAATCCCGGCTGGATCCGGCATTCCAGCTCGAAAAGCGGATCCCCGCCAAAAGCCTGATGGGCCCGCTCTGGGGATGAAGGTTGTCTTGGGGATCCGCTTTTCGAGCTGGAATCCGGCATTCCAGGCCAATCCCTCCTGAAAGGGGGCCGTGATGAAGGTTGTCTTGGGGATCCGCTTTTCGAGCTGGAATCCGGCATTCCAGCTCGAAAAGCGGATCCCCGGCCAATCCCTCCTGAAAGGGGGCCGTGATGAAGGTTGTCTTGGGGATCCGCTTTTCGAGCTGGAATCCGGCATTCCAGCTCGAAAAGCGGATCCCCAGCCAATCCCTCCTGAAAGGGGGCCGTGATGAAGGTTGTCTTTCCCCGGCCAATCCCTCCTGAAAGGGGGCCGTGATGAAGGTTGTCTTGGAACCGGTGATCATTGATTGTGGTAGTCTGGTTTTTGATTCCGGTAGTCTAATTAAGTTCATGTCAACAGCCTTAATTTCATGCAAACTTGACGGTTGGGCTCATTATCGTCCTTGTTTTGGGCTGGGCAAGTTCAAATCAGAAGTGTGAGACTCTTTGGCCATCAAAGCGATTACTTGCTACTTTTGTATTTTCACAAGAGCCTCACACCATATCTGACTTGAAATTGCTCAGCCCCTGCTGTTTGTCATATGAGCCCACGCGGCAGGTTTGCATGGAAAATAAAAATAACAGCTTCATAGAAGTTAGGTGTTGTGACCTGGCTGGGTTGGGTGGGGCAGCTGGGATCCCTGGACCACCCCGGCGAAGACAGCAGCCCAGCCACGGCCTGAGCTGGGTGGGAGGGAGGGGGGAACGAGTCGAGGGTGCATTGCAATTAATGCCCTTTTTCCATATACTTGACACGCACTCTACGGAGAGGCTGGCGCGCACACACGCCCTAGCGTGATGCAATCTTCCTGAGCTTGGGTGAGCATGGCTCGAACTGCAAGTATGTACTCTAGCAAGCAGCTATGATCAGAGACATCTGCAAGCTCTTGGGCCGCCTCCCGGCACGCATCAGCCAAGCGCTGGAGGGATTGGAAGTAAGCTCCTGAGTCAACCTCAAGCGCCCAGCCAACCAAAGCAGGGACCAGCAAAGCTACCCAGTTCAGCACTTGACTTGGAGCCTCGCAGCTAGGGTTTCCAAAGTGAGCGCTGAGCATACCATCAGTGATGTCAGCGCCACGCACCTCCGCAGAGCGCGTCAGCCCAACCACTGCGGCTAGAACCGCAAGCCACGAGTCAAGGAGCAGGTCAAACGCGGCGCAGTCAATGCTCTGGGCCAGCTTGTCGAAGACCTGGGTGTACTTCAGCAAAGTCTGCTTGGTGCGTGCGATTTCTTCGCATCTTCGATGGGAATCAAGGACTGCGAAGTACACCATTGCTTTCAAGCCCACGCTGAAATTCCAAAAGTCATCCTGGCAAAACAGCGCAGCAGCCATGGTTCTGCTCTCAGTCTCTCAGGGACTCTTGGGACTGCAGGCAAAGCGAAAGAGCCAAACTTCAATTGCGGAGCATTTCAAAGTGGGATGCGCTGCTGCGAGACTGCGGGCAAGTGCCTGAGGCCCACGCGCATAAATCATCGCTGGCAATGGCCTGTGCTTCACAGAAACCCACAGCTTTGGGCTCACACCCCATCACACCCCGCGCAAATCCTCTGTCGCACTGTTGCTCGAGTCTGAGAGCTACGCGCGCATGATTTGTCTAGATATGGCCGGTGACCCCACTACACGCGCCCGGGAAAACTCGCCCTAAACCGGCATGCCACACAGACACAGCGCAATTCATCTCTAGCTAAGGCGAAACAAGCATTGAATACCCTCATGTGGCCGTGCGCGTTGCTGTTGGGCCAGTTTGTTCAATCCCTTTTGAGCGGGTTGCGGCGCCAGCTTGCGTTGGTTGGTTTTGGAGTAGCTGCCAGGACTAATGCCCACCTCAGCATTGTAAGCTCACCCCTCAACTCCTCAACCCCTTTAGCCCAGAGGCGGTTGCCCTGATGAACTCAACCGTGTTGGCCATTCAGTTGGAAAACATTGTGAAGCACTTCATTTTGCTTCGTTCTTTTTTTGAGGCCCTAGGCCCGCTTCGACCAGGGGCAATTGGGCAGGTCCAGGGCCCTTGTTGAAAATCCTGAAGCCACAGTACTCGTTTTATGTCGCGTGGCCTAATACACTTGAAAGTTGTAAGTTTGCTCGGCTTTTCGGAGCTTACGCCAAGTGCTTCCCAAAGGGCCAAGGTTATGTCCAATCTATTTGCTTGAGTCGCAAGTGGTTGTTCCTAGGAAAGGGGTCCTGCCTCCAATCGTCCAGGTCACGTTTGATGTTACCATGCACTTGTGAGGAAAAAAGTTGAAATCTGAAAAGTTATCGGTTTTGGATGGGGTTGATTTTTTCATCTTTAGCTTTAGCACTGTGGGCATGCCCGAAGTTCAGTCACCGCTTAGGTGCTAGACCAAACCATTGCTTTTTCATCCAAAACCGAACAGTTTTCCAGCGCTGCAACGAGTTCAAAAAATGATGTACGTTTCTAACCTTGTGTGTGCTGCTGAGGCCGGAACCCGACACGGAGTCCCTGATGCCAGAGGACAAAGCCGGGGCACCTGGCAGGCAATGCAACTACAAGTGTCTGGAAACCAATGCCCCTGTCTGGGAAACACATGGTGCGTCTGGAAATCTTAAGTTTCCCCCGCAGCCCATTTTCCGCTCAGCAAGGGATTGAATTGTTCTTTAGCTTGTTGCTGGTCAGAGCCAGTTGGATTCGCTTGCTGTCCTGCCGCAGAATCTGAAGCCAGTCCCCAGTCCCCGTGTTTCTGAGTTCCAGAGTTTGCAAGATGGGCAACCAGTTGGGCAGCGAGAGTCGGACAGACCGTGTGAAGCTGCTCTTGCTGAGCGGTGGCCCTCAAGCAGCCTTCAACGCTCACAAGGTTCTGCTGGTGGTGGCCACCGACGAGAACCAGGTTTGGTCGTTGAAGTCAGTCATCACTGAGCGAGGCTGCAGCCCAGACTTGGTTGACCTTCCGCAAAGCAAGACAGGACCAGCTTTTGTGGCGTTGCACTGGTACAAAAACGATCGCAATTAGTAGGGCCTCGCGGTTGTTTTTTGAGTGTGTCCTGTGGAACTCCGTACCTGCAGGATCCTTGCGCTGGGCCCTCTGCAACGAGGACTCCATCATCCTCGCCACTGTGGAGACTAGTGGGCCGCTGGAGTCCATTGTCTTCGAAGGCATGGTCCTGGGGGTGTGCTATGGCAAGAAGCAAGAGGCCGCAGCCAAGCAGGCAAGCGCCAGCGACACGCCTGCAAGTGCAAGCGGCCACTCCGAGCCAAAGCCCGCGCTGGACCAGCCCGCGCCGGACCATCCCCATCCTGAGGCAGGCAAGCCCGATGCCACATCTTCCCCTGGCGAGCCCAACGTGCCACCCACCCAGGAGCCGAAGGAGTTTGGGCCCTCTGAGCCTGAGTCCGCAGTCCCTGAGCCTGGAGTCCCCGAGTCCCAGACTCCAAGGGCTGCTCCAGCTTCACGCTTGCAGATGGTGAGGGCCAGCCGTGAGTCCACCAAGTGCAGTGCAAGCAGTGTTGTGCTGGACACAGCTGGCGAGGGCGAGGACATCACGGCCCTCCCCATGCACGAGATTGAGCAAGCGCTGCTGAAGGGGAAGCCCCTTCCTGGATGGAACGCGCAGGGCAACGTTCAGAAAGATCTGGCGTACGTGAAGATCTTTTACAGTGCCCGGCTGCAGAACTACCATCCAGACAGTCTCTGGCCGCCTGTCACCTTTGACAAGGAGGCCAGCCGTTTGGTGCGCGAGCTCGGAGAGCAGCTCCAGCGCCTGCAAGGCAGTGAGGCGCGGCTGTCGGAGCAGTCGCTCTACGACATCCAGGTCATCAAAACCTGGGTCCACTACACCAAGCAAGGCATCGTGCCGCACGGTCCCCTCCTTGGCTGGGCCCGCATGATGGGCCACGAGCTCTACTTCCACGTTTACGCCGAGGACCAGCCGCCCTTTCTCATGGCGAGGGTCCCCAGCTTGCAGTACTGCGAGTGCCCTGGCTCAACCACTTGCCGGTAAAACCAAAGTGCAGTAGCCAATAGCAAAAACTGCTTTCACAACCATAATTAATAAGCTTCCATGAGTTGCTCTCGCTGTGGTTGGAGTTGTGTTGCTTCAAAAACCAAACCATACTAGTTTAAAAAACACAAGAAAACGAGAACATCGGCAAATATGCAATGGAAACAAGGTAAAAAAAGAAATCGATAAGTGTGAGAAAAAGCAAACACGTGAAAAGAAAGGGGTATTTACTTGTGCGTGTATGCATATATAGCTCAATGTAAACATATGTGTATCTATACAGGCACGGGGGCAGAGAGGTATGTACACACGTACAAGTAAATACCCCTTTCTTTTCATGTTTGTTGAGCGCTTTGTCTCATACTTATCTATTTTTGTTATTGTGTCCTTCTTGTTCTGTTTTGTTAAAATTGTTATGTTTCACATGTTCTTGACTTTCTGGCGTTGCTTCTCTTTCGCTTTCTCTCGCCTCTGTTCTTCTCCATTCTCACCCTCTTTCTTGTCTTCAACTTATCTTGCCTTATCTCTTCATTTCGCTCTCTCTCTCTCTCTGTCTCTGCTGCGGGTCCCACCTGTTGCTTTCCCTGCTTTTTGGCTCATGGCCTGGCTAGCCAGCAACTGCGCAATTTTCAGCCACACGGAGACTCAGTTGCTTGGGCAGTTTGGTGTTGGCTGGGCTGGGGTAAGCTGTCTGGCTGTTCACTTCTCTGCTGGTCCTGCTGTGAATTTGCTGATACCTAGCGCCGTTTGTGTTGTTGTAGTGTTTGCTTGCCTGCTGTCTTGCGCCTTCTGCTGCTTTGCATGGTTTGTTTGCGCGCTTGTTCTTTGCATATCCTTGTTTGCTGATTGGTTTGTTAGCTAGCTTGTCTGTGTCTTTGTTCGCTTGTCTGTCGCCTCACCATTCCTGACTGTAAGGTACCCTTTCCTGGACCACACCAAGGACATCTGCGAGGGCGTCAAGCAGCTCTTTTGCCAAGCTGGCTTCTGGAAGGTCCCCACGCTGAAGTTGACAGTGGGCATGGCTCTGCCATCCATGACACCAGAGCGGCAGAATGAGCAGCTGCTTGCCTGCGCTTGGCCGGATGGCGTGATGAGTGGCATGATCCATGATCCCGGACGGCGTAGAGCTTCGCATCCTGAACAAGCAGGTGATTGCCCACTCTGCCTTCCGCAAGTTTGAAGGGGCGCCGCCCAGTGGGCCCAGCTCCTTCTTTTTCGACCACCAGCCAGGCAGGACCTGGTACTTGCAAGCTCGCGCACATTGGGCCTACGCCATGATGCTTGCCTGCCCTTGTTCTTTGTGAGCGGTGGTCTTTTGGCTATTTGATCATTTGGTAAATAGTTTGACGAAGCATGGGCCCCACTCCTCAGGACACAGCAGTCGGCTGGGGACGGCTCCATCAAGCTGACCTGGGTCCGTCGGGCGGACAGCCCGGGACAGCAGAAGAACTTCACGGTTACTGCTGTCATGCCAGCTGAGCCTCCGAGCCTCAGCGGAATCAGCAAATTCACCTACACGCATGGCTTGTACCAGCAGGAAGGTGGCAGGTGGAAGGCGCTCTACTTGCGCCTCACTTCCCCGAGTGCCCAGCGAGGCTGCGAGCCCAATGTCTTGGAGCTCTTCGCCCTGGACAAAGTGACTGAGGAGATGGCCAAGTCCCTCACCACCATGTCGCCCGCAGGGCAGGGGTTCATTCCCCGTCGCAGCAAGGCTGGATTTGTCGTTCGGGGCGAGCGCCCGTTCGAGAAGGACCCCACTGGCTGGGTCTGGCAAGACGAGCACAATGGCCCGGTCACCATGTACATGAAGGACCACTTCTTCAAGCAGTGGTCCCAGGAGGAGCCCACCTACTACTGGGACCCTGAGTCGTACAAGTGGGAGGCAATCAAGGAGGAGGATGGCACCTGGCATTTCATGACCAGCAATGATTGGATGCCGGCATGGGCAAAAGTTCCATCCCAGCCAGGCGCACATGAAACATCACAGCCGTCCCAGCCGTCCCAAGGGTACTAGCCACCCGGACCGCGAATTTTTGGTCACCCAGCCCAAGCTTCTTTGCCAAGGACTGACTGATCGCCAAAACGAAGAACCCATTGTTTAGTTCAAAGCCGCTTTCCAGCTTATTGGCTGTGGTCTTGAGGGCTGGGTGATGAGTCAGCTCAGCATTGTGAGACTGGCCATTTTGGCAGGTGCTGGGGCACAGTAAATTGAGGCCCAGCCTCCGTCAACAAGTTGCAAATCATGGCTTTCTTTCGCACTCTCTTTTGCAGTTACCGCATGTTTGCTTCATCGCCCCAGTGCCACAGAGTCCCTGAGGCTCGGAGTTCTGACCCAGAGTCTCAGGGGCCGCCCGATGCCAGCCTATTGACAGTTTGCTGGCATGCAAAATTCGAGCAAAAAGTGAAACTTGGACTCACATTGAGATCACCAGCATGCTCCGCAAACACATGCTCACCCGACTGCGCGCCCAGGTTTGGACCTCTGCCTGGCCCTGGTCCACTCAGGACTGCCTGCGCCTTCAGTAAGGGTGACAGTCGGGTTTCGCGCGTTTTGGTTTGTTGCAAAGTTGTTGGCGGGGCACCCTGACAGGAAACTGATGCACTGCTTCTTTCAGATTTTCTTGAACTCTTTTTCGTTGCCGCTTTTCTTGACATTGCCCCCTAAAGCTGGAAAGAAGCCTAGTTTCATCTGGGGGGCACAAGGAAGAAGGCCTGAGGCCGAGGGTTTTCTATACTTCTGAAGCCTACGCTTGTTGCTTGTGTTAGTATATATGTATTATGTCTCATCTTGCTCGGTAATGTGCACCTACTGCTTCCAATTGCAAAAGAGCGCATTTTGTGAGATGTTTATCATTTTGCATTGGAAACTAGTAGATGAACATTCCCGAGGAAGATTAGACATAATACTTATGATGTACTAAAGTTGTCACCGCATAGGGCTTTATGTTTTGGCTGGACCCTGAAGGCTCGCCTTGGACCCAGTGAAAAGAAAGTTTGCGGCTTCCGCTCAAGGCGCAGTGGCTCAAAACTCTTGGCCCATGAACAAACTTTTGGCCAAGCAACCCCATCATGGAGCTGGCTGCATCGATACGAAACGCGTAAAATTCGTATACTGCCATCCTCAAACGGGCCGCTGGTGGTGTCACAAAATCAACCTGGGCAGCACTTTTGCAACCTTGGGCGAGCTGATTTCTGCCCTGGAGTCCTGTAAAAAGGGGAGGGCTTTCCTGGCCAAGCATGGCAAGTCCAAGGCAGAGCAGCGAATAAAAACCGAAGATTTGGTGAACAGAGTTCGGTGCTTGGCTGCTTACACACTCAGTGGATCGCGCCGCTGGTTTCCCGCTGATGTGCATTCTCGTGAGCGCTTGGCTGCTAGCAAGCGCGGGCAGCAAATGTTCAAGAAAGAGCCGGCCTTGCACATCATCAGCCTTCAACTCAGGATGTGGCCCTGGAAAGATGCTCTCGTCTCAGAGTGGCGGCGCGTTGACCAGAGTCCAGAGGGCAGAGACCAGACACTGGAGTCCAGAGTCTCCAAGATCCGCACTGTGCTTCTGAAGTGTGCAATCCGCATGAGCAAGCAGCCTGTCAGCCAGCAGTGGCAAAGCAACGCGATCCGAAACCAATGGAGGGTAGCGGGGCCTGTCTCTTGGCCTGTTGAGAAATGTTTGTACCTGCTTGGTGCTTGTTTTGGCACGTTTCAAGAATGGCTGAAAAGTATTCGGTTTTGGATGAAAGGAAGAGTATTCGGTTTTGGATGAAAGGAAAAGTATTCGGTTTTGGATGAAAGGAAAAGTATTCGGTTTTGGATGAAAGGTTCTGACGCTGAAGACGCTGGGTATCCTGAAGAAGCTTCCTAAGCAAGCCGCTGTAAAGGGAAGCCTTTCTTTCGTTCAAGGGCACGAGGGCCAGCGGGAGTTTTGCTGGCAACTGGACCACGGCAGAGGCAGCGCTGTGCGAATTGGACTGTTTGTGAAGGCAGTGGACGCAGTGGTTGCTGCTGTTGGCCCGGACGCGGCAGCGACCTTTGGGGAGCTATGTGCCCAGGCAGGCAGCTTGTAAAGCCCTTGTTGGGGCAACTGCTATTGTCACTTTTACCTTGCCTGCTTTGCTCGTAAGCCCGGTTTCCTATTCAGACAGGTCAAGCGGGGCAAGAAGGCAATCAAGGAGCTCCCCTTCAAGCCACCTTTCTGGAATAAGGACGGCAGCAACTATCACTTCAAAGCGACGTTGAAGTCGTTCCTGTCGGACTTGGCAGCTATGAGCAACAACCAGTTGAAGCTCGATAAGAACTTGACACTCAACAAGCTTGTGCACATGAACCCCGACATGCAGGCTTTGGATACTCTTTTCTTTTTAGCGGGCCAAGCTCCGTTCAAATAGCAGGGGTTGTAACAGATCGTTTCATGAAGGCTGCACCAGCCTTGTCCATGAGGGTCCTTAGCCCACTTTTACCACAAGTTGCTTCCACAGCTTCACAAACAAAACTTCCAAGCCCCTGGCCTGAAACGATGGAATGGCACTTAGAAGCATACGTGCGCTAGTGGGGGGCCCCCCAAATAAATTCAGCTCAAAGACCCATCGTTTCAGGAAAGGGGCCTGGAAAGTCAAAGAAGCGCTCCCCACTAAGCAGTGGAAGCAACTGTGGTAAAGGCTCTTGAATTTACATACCCCAGCACTAGCAGAAGCAAAACTCACAACAGCGAACAAAGGATGCTGGACCAGGGCTTCAGAAACATCACCCCGAAGCAGTTCTGTAAATACCTTGGCTGTGAGGCTGACCCAGGGGCAGTGTCGTATCTAGCTTGCACTGCTGGGGACCGATCCTTCCAGCCAGGCGATTTCCGCAACTTCAATGTACAGATTTGGTGGAAACTTGCCACGCGCTTTCAGAAACTGCACGGCTGTGAGCCCCATCCGGCTCTGGTTGCAGTCATGGCCCGGCAGCTAGCAGAGGACTGAGGCCAGAGCCCTTGAGGTCCAGAGTCAGGCGCCTGGCAGGTTGGAGCGCCCAGCAGAAAACACAGCAAAGGATCTCGCAGTGCCGTGCGCAAACTGCTCAGCAAAACAACAATACTATTTCTTGCAACAAAGTTTGGTCTGCAAATCGCTTTTCCTTCTTGTTCATTGGCTCATTGACTCATTGACTCATTGACTCAGTGACTGTGGCTGCGCTTGCGTTGAAGCTAGCTTGGCCATTCAGTGCATGACTCTGGGCTCTGGGCTCAGGAACTCTCCTACATTGGCATGCACACATGATTGTTTGGACTCAGATCTTGAGCTGCTTGGACAGTGTTACCGCTGCATCCTTGCCGATGCACACCTTGAGCCTGAGGATCTTGGAAGCCTTTGTAGCCAGGACTCTCCACCCAAACTCCCCCCGCTTTCGGGCTAGGCAGGCTTGCTTCAAAGCTTTGAGCTTTTTTGGGCTGAGGTTTTTCCCTTGTTGGTGTTCCAAGTAGGACTTCCGGCCATTGACCTTGCCTGGCAAGCCCGCTGCCTTCATTTTGGCAGCCTTTGCTTTCAGCCCTTCCTGTAAACGATAAACAATGGTGTCCCTCTCAAACTCCTGCACTGCGGCCATGATCCTGCGCTGGAAATTCTCCGCAGGACTGGCTGTGCTGCTGAAGAGCGTTGGAGGCAGGTCCGCCACGACAATGTGCGTTCCAGTGCGTTTGGCCTCCTCATAGATCTCTTCAATGGCACTGGTCTTCCGCCCCAAGGCCCTCAAACTTTCCACATAGATGTGACTGAAGCCACCGTTGAGCAAGGACTGAAGTTTCTTCCTGTCTTTTAGGGGGAGCATGCCTGAGATGCACTCAGAAACACGCTTGGCACCTTTGTAGTCCTTGCCTTGCACGGCCTTCAAAGCCTTGAGACTTGCCCGGAACTGCCTGTTGCCACTGTCGCCTTTCAAGTTTGTCTTTGTGGATGTTCGGGTGTATATGGCAGTTGCAGTCTTGGCCATGGCTTGGTGACTCAGAATCAGAACTCTGTGACTCAGTTGCTCTGAGCTCAAGTCGGTGCTAGCGGCGAGCAATGGCGGCCCCCCAGCCAAAGTGGCACTTTCCAGATGTCCTCAAACCTGGAAGAACAACAGCCCGTGAAGCAGAAAGTGCCAGGCCAAAGCCCCTTGCCCCAGGCAGAGTTGCCACAAATCCCGGAGTTCCAGAGGTCTCAGGGCAGAGTCAGTGTCAAGAAGCTGCTCAAGAACAAGATCATGCCCAAGCTGAACAAGCCCAAGCTGAACAAGTCCCAGAACCCTCTTCCGTGAAGCTTGAGGCCACTGACTCAACACCGCTCCCTACACCAGAAGACCCTGACACCCTGGTGCCTGCAAGCCCCGCCGGCGAGGAGCCAGAGGTGAGCGATGCCGCAGGAACATCTCCGGCAAACTCTGCCTTGGGCCGCGACAGCGAGAAGAACGAGGCCGGCAGGCAACTGAAACCCGAGAGTGAGCCCGTGAGCCCAAGTCCAGATTTTAGGGTTGCAAACACTTTCGTGTGAAGCATCTTTCTGTTCGCCTGCTAGCGCCAAAACATGGTTCCCTTGATTGTGTCAGGACAACCTGCCGGAGCTGCCTGGCAAGCCGGAGGAGGCAAAGGAGGAGGCGGATCCCAAGGAGGCCGAGAAGCCCCACGAGCCTTCTGGGCCCCGGGCCCAGCACCGCCGTCGGCGCCGACGATCCCCATCATCCTCCTCAGAGACACAGACAATCAAAATCAACCTGCGAGTGACGTTCAAGAAGAGACGCGGCAGCCGCAGGTGGGAGGTCTACAACATGGGGTGGGGGCCACGCTGAGCCTCTGAGTCTCTGAGGCTTGAGTCCCGAGCCACAGTTTTCTGAGCGCCTGGCCAGCAGAGGAAGGTCCTCTGCCAAGCACCTTGCCTCAGGTTAAGTCTCTTTTCCACCGTGCAACGTGGCAGGCCAGTGGCAGAGTGCATGAGTGCTGAGTCACTGAGGCAGCTGTCAAAAATTACTGCAGCTATCGCAGGTCGTCTTTGGGGGGGATGATGGAGAGAAAGCGGTGCCCTAAACAGTTGGGAAAGCATGTTATGTCGATTTTGGACTGTTGGGAGCCAATTGGATAGGGATTTATGACTTATTTGTCTACACAACTATGGCCCAGTGGACACTGCGTGTGGCAAACAGTTTTCCATTCAAACGCACATCATCCAAAACCGACAACGTTGACGACCTGTTGCAGAACAGCATTTCCAAAAGCACACCATCCAGAACCGACATTTTGCAAAACAGGTTCAAACCCAACGCACACCATCCAAAACCGTCAAATTTGTGGAATCATCCAAAACCAACAACATTGTGTAGAACCAAGTGGTTAACGTTTTTTCAAGAAGCCCCGAACATGTTTGCAACCGCTTTGGATGAAGGAGTCACTGGCCTATCTCACAATTCTTTGGCAACATAAGCTTGGCTAGCTAAAAAAGTTGTTGGTTTTGGATGGCAGGGGCTGCAGGCAACACATCCTTAACAACACAATTCCAAATCATGATGGCAAATGGGACCATGCCCCACCTAAACCCAACAACTTGTTTGGCACCCTTTGGAGGACACTTTCTCAGCAAGGACGCCCCCCTGCTTTGGCCTGAGCTTTGAAAGGTTTGGACTCTTGGGGAAAACCACTTTTGCCCACAGTTTCTCATTTTGGGGTGTCAAATGGCTTTGAATTGCGACGGCCAGGCGCCAAGTTCAAGAACGAGCTAGCTGGCACGCCCCTGGCCTGTTTGCATGCACCAGCTGTGCACTGCTGCAGCTTTTTGAACAAGACCGAGGGGCAAAACCCATTAACTTTGAAGTCTGCTTGAGCCTGCAGAAAACTCCCTTCTATTTCCCCAAATGCAATTTGAGAGCAAAACCCATTTACTTTCAAATCTTTTTAAACCTGATGAAAACTCATTAACCCCAAAAAAGTTAATGAATTTGGGATGAATCTGCCACGAACCACCCCCCCAAAATGAGAGGCAAACAAATGGCACTATCGCCCCCCGATAGCGCCATTTCTCTCAAGCAAAAATGGGGGTGCTGCCATTTCTGATACCCTAGATGATGAAGGTCTCGAAATGGCAGCACCCCCATTTTTGCTTGAGAGAAATGGCGCTATCGGGGGGGGATAGTGCCATTTGTTTGCCTCTCATTTTGGGGGGGTGGTTCGTGGCAGATTCATCCCAAATTCATTAACTGTTTTGGGGTTAATGAGTTTTCATCAGGTTTAAAAAGGTTTGAAAGTAAATGGGTTTTTATCTTTCTTCAGAAACGAGGAGTTGACTGCAGGCCTAAACACACTTCAAGAGTTACAGGGTTTGGCCCCTCAGTGAGAACATGATGACTTCTTGCCAAGTCATTCATTCGTGCTGTGCGTTGGCGAAGCTTGCTTGCCTTGCACACCTGCAGCTCTGGCTGACAGCCAGGCACCACCAGCCAGAGTCCCTTTGGTCCCTGAGTCAGAACATTCTAGTCGGGAAGCAATGGATGCTTCCTTGAAAGCAGTGGTGGGCAAGTTTCAGTCATGGATGGTCGATGCCTTTGGCGGATCTGGCGACCCACAGCTTCCGGACGCTGTCGAGATCTGCCCCTCAGTTGAGTTGAGTAAAGTTTCTCAGAAATGGACACCAGCTGACTAGGTTGACCTGCTTTTTGGCCCCAGGCGACTACTTCCAGTCACACTTCGGGGACAACTCGGAAGCCCTCACAACCATCTTCAAGAGCGTCATGCACAGAGTGGAGCAAGTTGACCCCACATTCACATATTCCCGCAAGCCTGTTGCAACCAATGTCCCTGATGTACCAGAGCTTGGAGAATCCCTAGAGTTGAATTTGATGCCATGGCATCTGAGCTTCGACCCCAGCTTGTCTCTGAAGGGCAAGTCCAAAATGGTGTACATCAAGACCTGTGTCACTGACTTCCTGGAGCGGCCCTACAACTCGATGGAGAACCCGATACACGTGTTCTTTCCGAAAAAGTGCAACACACCGGGCAGGCCATTCAGAGCTACGGAGTGGGACATGGCATCGGGTTTGCCAAGAGCCTTGCCATCAAGATGCTCCTGCTGGGTGTGGTTCAGATGCAGCTGTCCGACGCAGAGCTCAAGGTCATCGCTCCGCAGCTGAAGGCATTGTTCAGCTTCCGCTGCCTCTACAAGACTTTGGGGGACGAGAAGCAGGACCGCATCCAGTGCCTGAAGGACAAGTTTGGCGAGGCTGCCCGGCCGCGGCCAGATTGCATCCAAGTCTGCACCATTTTGCAGGCCCAGGCCAGGGAGGAAGGTGCGCAGTGGGAGCATGCTGCAGCTCGCATGATCTCTGAATTCAACAAGGGTAGCACCAACGAAGTCAAGCAACTTTCAGACTTGGAGATGTGCATCGTGAAAGTCCTGCCATCGATTGAGGAGGACACCCTCAAGATGATCGACTACCATTGGCAGAACCATGCCATAAAGACCAGCGCCTTGCCATACAAAGTGCTGGCCACTGACGCATTCATGAGTGGGTCAAAGCCAAAGCCAAGCCAGGACTCCAAGCTTTGGCGTGACATCCTCAGCTTGAGCAACGAGAAACGGCACTGGTACATCACACGCAAGATCAGGCTCTACCTCTTCAAGATTGCGGATGCGAAGCGGCTGAGGAGGAAGGTCAGCCCAAACAGCATCCGTGACGAGAGGGACAACGACAGTGCTTGGGCAATCGCTTGCATTTTCACGCATTTCCAAGAGGCCTGGAGCGGCCTTGTCACTCAGAGCTCCTTGCAGCGCCTCCAGGACAACTTCTGCCGGGGATACCTTGACACTGAGCTGCTTGAGAAGTACCGCCTGATGAACCCCAGTCTTGCTGCCACGAGCTTCCGGTTCTTGGCGGAAGTCGGCTACCAGGCCGGATGGTGAGGGAGGGGGGGCATGGCAAGGGATTGCTCAAACGCTTGTTGTTTGCAGGGAGACCGGAGTTCCGAGTCCCAGAAGACAGAGGTCGAGCTTGCCGCTGACCTGCAAAAGGCCGAGCTCGCCCAGACCAAGGCGCGCCTGCTGAAGGAGCAGCGGCAGTGGATGCAGTTCAACGAGTCTTTGGAGGAGTTCAAGCTGGCCACCGTTGGGATGAAGCAGGAGCACGTGGACAAGCAACGTGATGTGCAGCGAGCGGCCATAGAAGACTTTGCAGACCTCTTCTTCCCCGTGAGGGACCTAGCAGAGATCTCGCATGGCCTCACCTTTGCGGAGGCCAGCATCCACAAGTGCTGCGGCAAGATGTCGGCGCCGCAGGAAGCAGTCTTCAAGGTGTATTGGCTGAACTCCGCAGTGCTGGGCTATGATGCAGTGCTTGGAGTCTCCGAGGCCGTTGCAGAGTACGCAAGCCATGTGGCAAGCAGCCCAGCGAGCTCGTGCATTCTGGTTGCCGCTCCAACAGCAGGCGCTTGGGGGAGCGAGTACCATGAGACTGCAATCGTTGAGGCCACAGAGAAGGTGCGCCAGTTGCTGCAGCACAGCGAGCGCAGGCTGCTGGTTCGGGAGGTGTGCCTGCCCTTCCAAGTTGACAGCATCCAGGCACAGTCAAAGCGGCCAGGAATGCACAAAATTTTCCTTTGCGTTTCTGACCAGTGTGATGCATCCGGCCAGCCGGTCTCCAAGTTCACGCAGTCCCAGCTTTGGAAGAGACAGATTGTGGCTGGGAGCATCAAGGTCCCGATGGCTGCAGTGAAGCAGATGGTTGACCCGCGGAGGAGCTTCGTGGGTGCGTCTGGGCTGGCAGACAACTTGAACCATGCCCGACTGGACGCGGCCCTCGCTGTGCAGCGAGAAAGCCCAGACAGCTGCCAGTACTTGGCAGCAGCCATGCGTTGGAGCTTCGCCTCCGCCCCCAGCAAAGAGGGCAAAGTGCGCAGCCAAGCCAGCTGTGAGTTGGCAAACGCCGCCTGTGACCAGCCAAAGCCAAGGCATGATCGTGGCCAGCAAGCCTCTCTGGACAAGTCCAAGGCCAGACTCTCTGGGATCTGAGTTCCAGAGTCCCAGAAACAGACCGATCGGCCCAATGGAAGCAGTGCCTGAGGTTCACCTCACGCTTGGCATGGCAATTCTTGCTGGGGGGCAGTTTGGTTTGACGTCGAGCGCTGACGCAGCAGCCATGGCAAAGGACGTGGCAGCTGAGCTGGCGCATGCATGCGCGTCCTCGCAAAGTGGCTCTGGGGCATGTTCTGTCTGCGAGGACGGGCTGCAGCTGCAAGATGTGATCGAGTTCCGCCGGGCCTATCACAACTTGGCTGTGGAAGGCAAGTCCTTCCTTCTGAGCACCTGCTATGCTGAAGGTTCAGCTTCCAGCGACTACACTCGTGTGCGCTGGCGCTTCCTGGGGAAGCGCGTTTGCACCCGCAGGCTTCTTAAGCTTCTGGGCACCAGCGCAAGAACTTTCACCAAGGCTGTGCAAGGCAGCATCGACAAGAGGCAGTTCAATGGAAGGCAGGCAACGGAAGCTAGCATGTCAGTGAACCAATTCTTTTTGGAGGTGTACCACTCAGCTGCTGAGTTTTTGCCAGAAGACCCCTCGTATCACGTCACCAATGTGGACGCCAGCATCAACGCAGATGAGCTGGAGGGAGCGCCCGCCACTGCCAGCAAGCCAGCCTGTCACCCGACCCTGCCTTTGTTGGGCTGGGACCCGAGCGAAAGCATGGTTCAAGACCTTGGTGCTGCAGCTCTTGGCAACCCTGAGCCACTGCCCACCAGATACGTGCAGCACTTGAAGCCCGTGGACCTGTGGTGGCAGTATCTGGCCTGGGCGCTGGTGCGGTGCCCGCAGAGCAAAACTGCAAGCTGGAGCACCTTTTGGCGAGCCTGGCAGTCGAGTTTCTTGGCAGGTTTGTGAGATTCGTTCTTTTGTATAAACTGTGTTTTCCAGCCGATTTGAGTAAGGATGGAGGCATTCGATTGGGCTCCGAAAGGTCTGCCAACACAGCCAGTGCAACCAGTGCTTCGAGCACTCGCAGTTCATACATAGCAGCGGGGCTCCATCTGCAGAGAAACACCTCCGAGCCCGGGCATGGCAAGAGCACCTCCGAGCGCAGTATAAGGACCGTTTGATTTACTGGCACACCCGATTCCCGAGTCCTGTGCATCATCATCGATGGCCTCGACAAGAACAAAGGTGTTTGGCCACAGTATCGGTGGCGCAAGCCAAAGGTCTTGGACAAATTCAATCGTCCCCGCATCACGGTCCACGCAGCGATGGCGCACGGCTACACCTGTGACTTCTACTTGGCAGACGATGAGGACTTCTTCCATGGTGCTTCGTTCTTCTGCGAGGTGCTCACCCGCACCCTGGCCAGAGTTCAGAGGATTGCAGAGGGCAGAGGGCAGCGCATGCCGGAACACTTGGTAGTGCAGTCCGACAACACAACTGCACAGGCCAAGAACGCGGAGGTCTGTAAGTACTTGGCCGTTCTGGTGCGCAAGTTCAGATTCAAAAGCGCAGTTCTCAATTTTCTTCGGGTTGGGCACACGCATGAAGACGTCGACTTCCTCTTCAGCATGCTGCTGGCGCTGGTCCTTCGCCGTGTCCGCTTTCAGGTTCCGGAAGAGCTGCGCTTGGCTATCTTGAGCCTGACCTGCATGAGGGCGCACCGCTGTAGGGTTTTCTTCTTTTGAGACTTTGCGCATGATGCCGCAGCTGAGGACTGGCATGTCAGCCATCGTGGCCGGCAAAGGCTATGACTTGCACTGCGAACTCATGTCCCACGTGCGCAACTTCAAGGAGTGGATGGACCCTATGTGTGTGCACCCGCATAACTGCTGGAGAGCACGGCAGGGGATAGAGAGCCCTCATTCCTTTACCTTCAAGCTACGCATGGACTTGACGCAAGCAGAGTTCTCTTGGCTGCAGCAGAGTCCAACAGATAGGGGGTGGCCCGCGCATGAGCTGGACGTTTTCGTTGTTGTCAAGCACTACATGGCAAGCGAGTCTCCGAATGGCCCACCCGTCCTTCTGATTCCAAACTCGCGCTACCTTCGCATGCAGCAGGCTGCCCCTCAAGGCAGCTGCTACGCCACGCACCCCATGAATGAAAAGCGCCGGAAGGAGCTGCGGAAACTGGCAGAGGCTTTGGAAACCTTGTCTAACGAGTGGGCCGCCGAACATTCCTACTTCCGAGCAGCCAGAGAGCTGCGCCTGCTCGCAAATGGGAGGGACGCACTTCGCTCCACTGATGGGTTCCTGGAGGCAGCCTCTGCTGACAGGCGTGCGGCGCTGGAGCCTTCTGCCGCAGCCTCAGTAGCGTGCTTTGACAAATTTACATGTTGTGATTGCATGGCACTTTGCCAAGGACAACCCCTACTTTCGAAATCTGCCGGGGGTGTCGTGGCAAATGCTTGTCAAGTTCAACTGAGAGCTGACTGCCAGAGTGCTGACACGCCCAGGAGTGAAAACGGTAATTGGTGCATTTTGCGGGAAGGTTTTGCAGGGCATTGGTTTGAGCCACCGTTTCTTGTGCACTTCAGGCTGAGCGTTAGGAAATAGTTTCAGAGTCCCAGAGGCTCTGAGGCCCAGGTCCCGTGACGCCATGGCCGCCTTGTTTGGCTTGACTGCCCTTTGCATCCTGCAGAGCACGGACTTTGCCGGGATTCCACGCAACCTAGATGTGGCAGAAGTGTTTTGCGGAGTGGGCAGCATTGCACTTGCTGCCGAACGCGCCGGCTTCGCTGCTGGAAGGTTTGACAAGCATCGCGTTGGCGGTTGCACAGATCAGGACCTAGGGATGTCTGAAGACATGACAACCAAAGACGGCTTCTTCCGGGCAGTGCGCCTGGTCATGCGCCTGCGTGAAGGGGGGCTTCTTTGGCTGGCTCCTGTTTGCTCTTCATGGGTTGGACTGAACATTTCACGGACCAAGCGCAGCTCTGCAAACCAGTTCAGGGGCAACCCAATCTATGCTCCAGTCGCACTTGGCAACATCATGGCGCTGGCCTGTGCCATCCTCATGGAAGTGGCTCACCGAAGAGGCGTGCAAGTTGTGATTGAAAACCCTCCATCAAGCACCTTGTTCAGATTTCCGGCTTTGGAGCAGGCCTTGGGCCGGCTAACGGCCTTTGTGTGCACCACCTGCCGCTGTGCCTTCGACAAGTCCAAAGACGGCACCAGGCTCTGGAAGCAGTACAAGCTTGTGGCATCAGCTGGCTGGATCAGACAATTGGCAAGGCAATGCCCATGCAAGAGCCAGAAGCACCAGGCTTTGACTGTGACATGGACAAACTCTGCAGGAAAGAGGTGCTTCAAGGGCGTGAAGAACTTGCTTCAGAAGTCAGCTGAATATCCGCCTGCATTTGGAACTCAGGTTGTGGCAAAGTGGCAGAGCCAGCCAGAAAGCACACCGCCATCAACGCCATCAAGCGCTTCAAGAAAACCTTCACGGCAAAAAAGAAAGCTCGCCTGGACAGAGCCTGCCCTTGAGCCTCAGAGTACCAGAGCTCTGAGTATCCGAGCCCCTGCAAAAGCCAGCCGGCCAAGTGCAAACACGAGCTGGTGCCAACCAGCTTTGGACAGGTAAAAGCCTGCTGCCCGGGCAGTGAGCTGAGATGAGGTGGAAAAAGCTAGCTGCGATGCTGTCTGGCAAACTTAAGATTTCCAGACGCACCATGTGTTTCCCAGACAGGGGCATTGGTTTCCAGACACTTGTAGTTGCATTGCCTGCCAGGTGCCCCGGCTTTGTCCTCTGGCATCAGGGACTCCGTGTCGGGTTCCGGCCTCAGCAGCACACACAAGGTTAGAAACGTACATCATTTTTTGAACTCGTTGCAGCGCTGGAAAACTGTTCGGTTTTGGATGAAAAAGCAATGGTTTGGTCTAGCACCTAAGCGGTGACTGAACTTCGGGCATGCCCACAGTGCTAAAGCTAAAGATGAAAAAATCAACCCCATCCAAAACCGATAACTTTTCAGATTTCAACTTTTTTCCTCACAAGTGCATGGTAACATCAAACGTGACCTGGACGATTGGAGGCAGGACCCCTTTCCTAGGAACAACCACTTGCGACTCAAGCAAATAGATTGGACATAACCTTGGCCCTTTGGGAAGCACTTGGCGTAAGCTCCGAAAAGCCGAGCAAACTTACAACTTTCAAGTGTATTAGGCCACGCGACATAAAACGAGTACTGTGGCTTCAGGATTTTCAACAAGGGCCCTGGACCTGCCCAATTGCCCCTGGTCGAAGCGGGCCTAGGGCCTCAAAAAAAGAACGAAGCAAAATGAAGTGCTTCACAATGTTTTCCAACTGAATGGCCAACACGGTTGAGTTCATCAGGGCAACCGCCTCTGGGCTAAAGGGGTTGAGGAGTTGAGGGGTGAGCTTACAATGCTGAGGTGGGCATTAGTCCTGGCAGCTACTCCAAAACCAACCAACGCAAGCTGGCGCCGCAACCCGCTCAAAAGGGATTGAACAAACTGGCCCAACAGCAACGCGCACGGCCACATGAGGGTATTCAATGCTTGTTTCGCCTTAGCTAGAGATGAATTGCGCTGTGTCTGTGTGGCATGCCGGTTTAGGGCGAGTTTTCCCGGGCGCGTGTAGTGGGGTCACCGGCCATATCTAGACAAATCATGCGCGCGTAGCTCTCAGACTCGAGCAACAGTGCGACAGAGGATTTGCGCGGGGTGTGATGGGGTGTGAGCCCAAAGCTGTGGGTTTCTGTGAAGCACAGGCCATTGCCAGCGATGATTTATGCGCGTGGGCCTCAGGCACTTGCCCGCAGTCTCGCAGCAGCGCATCCCACTTTGAAATGCTCCGCAATTGAAGTTTGGCTCTTTCGCTTTGCCTGCAGTCCCAAGAGTCCCTGAGAGACTGAGAGCAGAACCATGGCTGCTGCGCTGTTTTGCCAGGATGACTTTTGGAATTTCAGCGTGGGCTTGAAAGCAATGGTGTACTTCGCAGTCCTTGATTCCCATCGAAGATGCGAAGAAATCGCACGCACCAAGCAGACTTTGCTGAAGTACACCCAGGTCTTCGACAAGCTGGCCCAGAGCATTGACTGCGCCGCGTTTGACCTGCTCCTTGACTCGTGGCTTGCGGTTCTAGCCGCAGTGGTTGGGCTGACGCGCTCTGCGGAGGTGCGTGGCGCTGACATCACTGATGGTATGCTCAGCGCTCACTTTGGAAACCCTAGCTGCGAGGCTCCAAGTCAAGTGCTGAACTGGGTAGCTTTGCTGGTCCCTGCTTTGGTTGGCTGGGCGCTTGAGGTTGACTCAGGAGCTTACTTCCAATCCCTCCAGCGCTTGGCTGATGCGTGCCGGGAGGCGGCCCAAGAGCTTGCAGATGTCTCTGATCATAGCTGCTTGCTAGAGTACATACTTGCAGTTCGAGCCATGCTCACCCAAGCTCAGGAAGATTGCATCACGCTAGGGCGTGTGTGCGCGCCAGCCTCTCCGTAGAGTGCGTGTCAAGTATATGGAAAAAGGGCATTAATTGCAATGCACCCTCGACTCGTTCCCCCCTCCCTCCCACCCAGCTCAGGCCGTGGCTGGGCTGCTGTCTTCGCCGGGGTGGTCCAGGGATCCCAGCTGCCCCACCCAACCCAGCCAGGTCACAACACCTAACTTCTATGAAGCTGTTATTTTTATTTTCCATGCAAACCTGCCGCGTGGGCTCATATGACAAACAGCAGGGGCTGAGCAATTTCAAGTCAGATATGGTGTGAGGCTCTTGTGAAAATACAAAAGTAGCAAGTAATCGCTTTGATGGCCAAAGAGTCTCACACTTCTGATTTGAACTTGCCCAGCCCAAAACAAGGACGATAATGAGCCCAACCGTCAAGTTTGCATGAAATTAAGGCTGTTGACATGAACTTAATTAGACTACCGGAATCAAAAACCAGACTACCACAATCAATGATCACCGGTTTTGGGGATCCGCTTTTCGAGCTGGAATCCGGCATTCCAGCTCGAAAAGCGGATCCCCAGCCAATCCCTCCTGAAAAGGGGGCCGTGATGAAGGTTGTCTTGGGGATCCGCTTTTCGAGCTGGAATCCGGCATTCCAGCTCTAAAAGCGGATCCCCAGCCAATCCCTCCTGAAAAGGGGGCCGTGATGAAGGTTGTCTTGGGGATCCGCTTTTCGAGCTGGAATCCGGCATTCCAGCTCGAAAAGCGGATCCCCGGCGAATCCCGCCTGAAAGGGGGCCGTGATGAAGGTTGTCTTGGGGATCCGCTTTTCGAGCTGAAAAGCGGATCCCCATTCAATCCCTCCTGAAAAGGGGGCCGCTGGAATCCGGAATTCCAGCTCGAAAAGCGGATCCCCAGCCAATCCCTCCTGAAAAGGGGCCGTGATGAAGGTTGTCTTGGGGATCCGCTTTTCGAGCTGGAATCCGGTATTCCAGCTCGAAAAGCGGATCCCCAGCCAATCCCTCCTGAAAAGGTGGCCCGTGATAAGGTTGTCTTGGGGATCCCTTTTCGAGCTGTCTGCATTCCACTCGAAAAGCGGATCCCCGGCCCTTCCCTCCTGAAAGGGGCCGTGATGAAGGTTGTCTTGGGGATCCGCTTTTCGAGCTGGAATCCGGCATTCCAGCTCGAAAAGCGGATCCCCAGCCAATCCCTTGTGTTGGGGATCCACTTTTCTGGAATCCGGCATTCCAGCCCGAAAAGCGGATCCCCGGCCAATCCCTCCTGAAAGGGGGCCGTGATGAAGGTTGTCTTGTGGATCCGCTTTTCGAGCTGGAATCCGGCATTCCAGCTCGAAAAGCGGATCCCCAGCCAATCCCTCCCGAAAAGGGGGGCCGTGATGAAGGTCCGCTTTTCGAGCTGGAATCCGGCATTCCAGCCCAATCCCTCCTGAAAGGGGGCCGTGATGAAGGTTGTCTTGGGGATCCGATTCCAGCTCGAAAAGCGGATCCCCAGCCAATCCCTCCTGAAAGGGGGCCGTGATGAAGGTTGTCTTGGGGATCCGCTTTTCGAGCTGGAATCCGGCATTCCAGCTCGAAAAGCGGATCCCCGGCCAATCCCCTCCTGAAAGGGGGCCGTGAGTGGAAAGGTATGTCCCGTGGGGATCCGCTTTTATTCGAGCTGGAATCCGCATTCCACGCGAAAAGCGGATCCCCGGCCA